AATCTTTTTATAATATATACATGGATCAAAGCATCACATTGTATTACATAAATATATACAATTATTAATTTTTTAATAGAAAATGAAAAAGTACTATGTGTTCTAAGACCTGAGAAATGGGAAACACTACTTTCTCCAGTGCTTGGGACACATCAGAGATATATTACAACCAAGATTTTTATTCTAATTTATTGAGTATTCTGTTTATTTCTAAAAGAACAAAGCAAAGCCATTCATTACTGAGTTTTCCCCAAGATTATAAACTAGATTTAAGAGCAAATACTATCATAGTTCAGGAATCTGTCTCTGGTTTCAAGCTCTGCCTTACCTAATGCTCAACTCTGTGAAGTGGGATTTTGGCTCCCATGACCATAAAATGAGGGGGTTGAATTAGACCAGGGATGTTCACATAAAAAGATAAAGAAAAGGTAATCTGTTTTTAAAGGGAAACCTTATTCAAAAGTAGTCTTTGAAAGCCATATTGCTGGAGTTGCTGTGGCTGACACAACAGGTGTGGTAAAGGGGAAAATGGGGAGCACATGACCCCAGCTACTCTCCCTATAGGTCTTTGCAGCCCTGGTCCTAGGCACTGTGTGAACACCACTGGAAGAGGTGCCTTTAGGGTTGTCCTTCTCTAGTGGATGTGATTCCATTGCATTTGGTGTGCCTTGCAATCTCTTATCCACTTTGGGTTACTGCTCCTGCACCTTTAAGGAGGGATTACATTTTCTTTTCTGAGATTTTTTTTTTCAGCCACCCAATTAGATGATCAAAAAGCACTTTAATATCTTTAGGTGATAGGTCTCCTTGATTATAATTTAGAGTAATTATTATCACATTACTGGACATTAAGTGTGTATCTTACAGCCCCTCCCTGCCCTGCCCTGAAGACTATCAGTCCATATTAGACACACAGGGAACAGCAGGATCAACAGTGACTCCATAGACAGAAAGACTGCAAGATGCCTGCTTCATACAAAATAATTCTGGCTATTCACACTCACCGTTTCCAAGTTAAGCTTTTCAGAAATAGAGATGTGCCTTTATGCAGCAATTCCAACAGTGAAAGCCCAATAAATTGCATGAATTATTCAAAAAGTGTCTGTCCTTCAAGTTCTGTAGCACTTCCATGGCATTGTGCTTTCTGTTTTGTTTTCCTGGGGTAGGAAAAAGTCTGGTTCACCTATGTCTAGCAGAGGGAGGAGATGCTGTAAATAACACTGAGGTGGTTGAGGGAATCTTCCCACAGGGAGGGTTGGAGTATAGTATCAGTGCCTGAACAATAGACAAATCTCTACAGTGAAATATCCCATTTGTGAAATAGGAAATGACTATTTCTGGGGAAGATTTCCACATCGAGGGAGTCCCCGCACACACCATGGTCGTTAAGCCTCGTGACACAATCGGCCAGGTAAGCCTTGCATGCTAGTCGACCTAGGGCACCCCAATTAGGGGAAACTCCTCTGGCCCACAGTGTTTGAAAGCTCACAGAGGTGCCTTGAATTCCAGATGTGAAAAATGTGATGCATTTCCCCTTTATGTGGTAAAATAAAGATCAATTAGGAGCACTTAGACCTCAATGACTAAAAGTTTTGCCAGCATGTTCCTCTCCATTCTCCATTGTTCAAGCAGACTTCGGTGGAAGGACTTGCAGTCCTGCATCAGTTCCCATTCTCATCAGCATTGCAAAGGATGACAGTCATTGTCCAAGAGAGGGGAGGTGACCGGCTGGCATTCATGAAAGGCTCACCTGAGGGAGTGGCCAGCTTTTGCCAACCTGACACAGGTTAGTGAACAGACTTGGCTTACAATAGACAAATTTTTGTTTCCAGTCCCAACTGTTCCCACAACACTTGGTCTCTATCTCCAGCTGGGCATCACCCACTGGCTGATTCACTGATAGTTCAAACACAATACCAAGTCAAGCTTATCTTTTCCACTTCTGGTATTTTCCAGTTTTCCATCTTGGGTAATGATAGCACCATCGTCTAGGAGTCAACCCCGGTTGTGTGCTGACAACGACATTGCTACTTTTTAGAAATTTTTCATTTGGTTGCTTCTCATAGCTTCCCTCATGATCTCAAATTCCTTAGAGATCATACCCTCTACTGAACTTTCCAGATATGCTTTACGGCTCCTCCTCTTACATCTGAGCGTCCCTTGAGATATCTCAGGACCCTATGCCTGAGTACATCAGAGTCCCTCATCCAGAAAGTCCCTTCCTTTCTTCACCTACCCTCTTCTTCTTATAGAAGAGCCTCCAAAGTGCCCCACACCCTTCCAGATTGTAAGCCACAGCAATGGTTTTTGCTTTTAGTATTAGCAGACTAGTTTTTACCGGACTAACCCAAAATCTGTAGGGCAGAGCTTGCATGTAGTAGACCCTTGGTAAATATTTTGAGTTAAACTCTAGACAAAAGAATCTATCCCCTAGGAACCCTTGTTTTTCAAATACTTCCTTCTCGTTTCAGCGGCACCGGATCCTAAGGTGCTAACCCTGACTGCATAGTTACCTTTTCAGTTCTCGGTGCCTTGCTCCTGCTGCCTTTTAGAACTGTGTTTTCATGGGCAAGAATTTGATGATTGTGAAGAATTTCTCTGCCCATACTGGCTAAGTAAACATTGCACACTAATCCTGTGTTGTTTTCTGAACAGTACCAACTAGTTTTATTAGTGAACTTCAGATTTACACGACACAGGGGTTCCGGGTCATAGCTCTGGCCTACAAGAAGCTGGAAACTGACTGTCCCGCAACTGCCATGTTGAGGTAAAAGAAGGGGATTTTCATTTAAAAAAAAAAATAGTCTGGGGCTGATGACCCAACTGGGATGGGACTCAAAGGTTGGAGGTGGGCCCAACAGCAGACAGTTTTAGTTGTTGTGTATGGGAGGTGTCTCTGAACATGATGGATAGGGATATAGTTTTCTGTCCTGTCCAAATTACAAAGCCAGCATGAACACTTGGAGAATTTATAGGAAATAGATAAAATGCAAAATATAATGTGACTTTAGGCTTTTGTGACAAGAGTTATATGAATTTAACCAGAGTTTTCAAGTCAGAAATGGTGGCCCTGATCCCAATATAGGATACATTGTGTGGAAACAGTAAAACATCACATTGACTTGGCAAAAATCCCTTAGTAAGAAATACACAACTATTAAAGCCAGTGAATATAAATTGGGTTGATGTAGTCTAGGTAATGTTTGAAGGGAAAAAAAAGAATAATTTCCAAGGGGTCATATTGGAAAATGTTTTGATGTGTATATTAAAATAAGGATGTTCAATAACTGAAATGGACTGCAGTAATAAAAATGCAGTTAATCTGCTGTTTTATTTTCTGGGATTTGGGGTCTATCTTGTTTATTTGCCTTCAACATTGTTTCTTGGACTTTATGTCAGTCACTACTAGTTACACTGCTGTGAGGTTAATCACGGCTTATTTCGATTTTTAAATTTGGAAGGTCCCACATATTTATTTTCAAAATGATCTGAGTCCCCACTTTTTAGTTATAACTATATTTTAAACTCTTCCTTGAATATCTTAGAATTTATATGTACTATTACCTGGACATATTTTTTTCTGGATATATATTTTGTAAAAACAAGTAAGTTCAAAGGAAGACGAAAATAACATAAATTACCTGGACATATTTTTTTCTGGATATATATTTTGTAAAAACAAGTAAGTAAACGCTCTATTTTATAGGAGTTCAAAGGAAGACGAAAATAACATAAAAACAATGGTTTGCTAAGTGCTCAACCAACTCTAATAAAACAAAAGGCACAAATTGTGGGGTGGGAGAGATGACTCAGTTGGTGATGGTGAAGTGCTTGCTCGTTAAGTACAAACAGGCAGGGCTTGGTGGCATATGCTTGTAATCTCTGTGCTGGAGAGGCGAAGACAGATACTGGGCTCTCTGGCAACCACCCTGTCTTAGAGCGTTCCAGGCTAGTGAGAGACCCTGTCTCAAAAAAAGAGTACAGGGCACCTGAGGAATAACATCTGAGGTTGTCCTCTGGCCTCCACACGCATGTACACATAGGTGCAAACACTCAACCCCCATGAAAACACACACACACACACACACACACACACACATTGAGGAGCTTGCTTACTACACACACACACACACACACACACACACACACACACACACACACATTGAGGAGCTTGCTTATTGACAATAGAGATCCTGAGGTTTAAGTGGCTACACACAAAAGTCTGCTGTATAATGCAGTCTTGAATACCTTAGTCTTGCTGTCAGGGAGATTGCTCTGTGAACCAATTCCTGGTAAAACTTGAAGGAAATAGTGTGCGCCCCTGAATTTGTGTGGTAGTTATATTCCTGCGAAATTAAGAATGTGCAGAAATACTTGGTGCTTATATGTGAAACAACTAAGGGAAATATAATAATACAAAATTTTATCATGTTTCATGCAGAAATATTATATATACCATAATAGTACTGTATACTAATGGTAGTATAATAATATAATAGAAACAAACAAACAAAAAACCTAAGCTGACTTAGGAAGGTATAAAAACTGCTTTAGGATTCAGAAAACCATAAGGACATACTTTAAAAATCTATATTCTGCTAAAGTAGAAAATCTAAAAGAAATGGAAAAATTTCTGGATATGTCATGAATATTCAATTAAGCATTCAAAAGGGAAGTGGTGATTCTCTGCGATTAGTCGTTACAGAAAATCTTGTATTCCCGTTAAGGTTTTTTTCCCTCCAAATATCATCTGGAAGCTGGGCGTGGTGACTGATACCTTTAATCCCAGCACTTGGGAGGCAGAGATTGAGATTGAGGCCAGCTTGGCGTATATAGCAAGTTCCAGGCCAGATGGAGCTACAGAGAAATCCTGTCTCAAAAACAAACAAACAAACAAACAAACAAACAAACAAAATATTAAAAAAATAATCAAACCAAAAACCAAAACCAAACCCCAAATATCATGTAGAGGCAGTGCTTTGCCCTTGGGAGATGGCTGATGTGACCAACCCTTTGACTTTGGTAACAGGCAAAGTGAGGCACTGAAAAAAGTGGTGCACTGACAGTCGCTGAGAGCTAGATTTCTGGGATAATTGGGTGACTCCTCCTGTAGCCAGGTTAGTGTGATCCTTGAACCTTTAATGATTACAACTCTGAATATTTGTGTGATCTTATCAACTCAGTTCTAAGTCACTGAAGTCAGAACTGATAAGGAACTTTGAGAATGGATGTCACAAATCACACAAGAGAAAATTTGGGTCCAAGGAAAGGCTGTGCAGAATTGGGAATATGCTAATTATGTACTCAAGTGTCTGCATGTCTACAAGTTATAAATTCATGGTTTGGGAGCACATAGGTAAAAGCAAACACTTCACCGTGGAGGTAACTGCACCACTGCTCATGGTGGGAGCTGTGGTCTTTAGGAGAGTGCTTGCCTTTGCCAACAGTATTGAAATTTAAATTCTAACTTTGGTGAAAAATCTAGTAAGGCCTAAACATTGACTAATAGGATTTGGTCCTAGGTTATCAATTTGTCTCTCGTATCTTAAAGCTACATCATCACTATCAGTATTTATTACTAAACTGATTGATCTATACTTTGCTTATCCCTGATTGAAAGAACATTCTTTCTGTTGTGTATATGTGGATGCAAGTGTACCTATGTGTGTGTGTATGTGTGTGTGTGTGTGTGTGTGTGTGTGTGTGTGTGTATGTGTAGGGGGAGGGTGGGTGTGCATCCATGCATGCATGTATGTAGGGGGAGGATGGGTGGGTGTGCATGCATGCATGTGTGTAGTAGCAGGATGGGTGGGTGTGTATGTATGAATGGGAGGGTGGGTCTGTATGCATACATGTGTGTGGGCAGGTGTGCATGAATACATGTGGTGGGGGTGTGGGTTTGGCTTTATTCACAGTGCTTTTAGAATTGATATCAAAATCTTATATAAGGTTTACGGCCCACTTTATAAAAAATTCTTCCTTTAAAAGTCACATGGATTTTAAGAACATGAGGTTAATTACAAGGCTGCCAATGTCTCTGTGTTCTGCCCACAATCCTTTATTAGTTTTAGGTACTACTGGAGGAGATTCAGTGCCAGTGCCCCAAACTGGAAAATGCAGCACTCTGGTGCACACTGCAGGACTCGAGACCTGTTCTCGTTTGCTTTCTGTTGTGATAATATACTCTGACCATAAGCAACTTGAAGAGGAAAAGGTTTATTTCAGATTATAGCTTACAGTCCATCATGGAGGGAAGCCAGGCAAGAACTCAAGGCAGGAGCCTGGAGGCAGAAACTGAAGCAGAGACCACAGAAGAACGCTGTTCACTGGCTTGCTCCTCTGGCCTGTCCTCAGCCTGTTTTCTTACACAATCCAGGAGCACTTGCCCAGAGGTGCACGGCCCACAATGGGCTGGACCCTCCTATATCACAACCAAGAAAATGCCTCAGAGACATGGCCATAGGCCAGTCCCATAGAAGAAATCCCCCAACTGAGTGTCCCTCTTCCTAGGTCAGGGAAGGTAAAGATGACAACCAAAGCCACACATGACAAGACCCTTCAAGAATCAGGACGAAACAGTGTACCACTCTACATTGCAGGGTTCCAATGGCTTTACTTCTTTTTATGTCTTAGTTCAGGTTGAATACTCATGAAAGGAAGGGTGATGAAGTGTTGGAGCTGGCAGAAGCCTTGGTGAGCTACTGATGTGCTGGGGCACCACTGAAGGAACACACTGGACCCACAGCAAGGCAGTGGTGGGCTGAGAATGGGACTCCAGTCTCCTGATCATATTGTTCACTGAACCCTATGAAGGCCATATGCCAGAGGAACCCAGAGGAGCTAGAAATAGGAGTTCCAAGATGGTCAAGGCTGTATCAGACGTTTTACCTCACAGCCATTTTCTTGGCCTGATGTGGCAACTTATTATTGGCTTATGTCATATCATCTCTGAAATATCTGAACCCTGTGGTCTGAGTATGAAGCCACAGAAAGACTGTAAAACTCCAGCCACGCACCTGCTAGTTATCCTTTAAGGGAAGCACAAATACCTCCTTCAGGAAGGTTCTAATCACTCTACCCAGAAATGCCTCTTCTCTGATTCCACAGGCTCTGAGTTTTGCACCTACCATTGTGCTTCTCCCAGCTTTCCTTATGAACAAGGTGGTAAAGTCTAATTTTTTCCTCCTGGTTGAATGTGACATTTCTGAGCTTGGACTTACCACAGCTCCTGCATGTTTGCTCCTTTTCCTTGGTCCTGTTCCTGGCGTTTATTAGATGCTCAATAGACGCTGATGGGCTTAACAGACTATCTCAGTTCTCAGTAAGAACACTGAATGAACAAATAAATTCCCCTCAGTTGTGTGGCCAACCAGGATCACAATGCATCAGAGTGTTTCTGCTAAGTTTCACTGCTGAGCGCTTCCTGCATGTGAGCATTGTGTGCATTGTGTGTGTTTCAGTGAGCTGTACCTTGAATCAGATGGTCTTCCCTTCAGGGGTCAGACACAGACAGATGAAAAGCCAATACCAGTAATGGATGGATAAATAAAAATAAGCTAGGGAAGGTGGAAGTAAGATGCTGAGGGCAGTTATTCCTGTTTGGGGAGGTAGTATGTGCTTTGGCACTGGAAACATAGAAGGATTTCAGTAGAGATGGTGGAAATTTACAATGTCTTCCATGCAATAAGGAAAAGTGTTTGGAACAGTCTAGAGCCAATGTCTGGAAATGGTTATATGTAGGGCATATCCATACCAAGTGGTTCAACTGGGCTGGAGTCAGGGGGAGAGTTTATGGATTGATGATGCTGGAATGATGGCTTGGAGCCAGATCATATGGAAACTTAAAGACTTGCATTAGTTATAGGGAGTGTCATCCTTCCAACTCCACGCTGAGGCAAGTGGCTCAAACTTTTTCCCTCCTGTCATCCGTGTGGAGGAAGTAATGGTTTCCTAGGATTGTTTCTAACTAGGCCATGTCCCTAGTTGATGCAAGACCTCACTGAACTGCAGGAATAGCCATATTCACTGCAGAAGATCAGTAAGAGGGAATGGGGGCAGAGCCTGGGTTGCATAAAGGGATCATGAGGTATGATCTGTATTATACCTCAAGGGGCAAAAATGACATCTATACAGCCTTTGTTTCTGGAAAAATGGATATTTTCTTGTATTTTTCCTATGCATTACTTGTCATGAACTAGAACTTCTCTCTGTGGCTAACAGGTGAGAGGATGAAAGTCAGGGAAGCCACCGCAGGTAGAAGACACCCTTGCAGTCATTAGCTCCTTGTCTGCAAAGGTTAAAGCCAAATCTTTGCCCAACAAGTACTTCCTCTTGGTTCAGTTGTGTAAATATTTCAGTATCCCAACTCCTCCTGTTCCCAGCTGGGATTGTTCCTAGCACATAATCAGTAGCTGAGGAACAGTGCTAGAGTGGGACCATTTCAGGAGAGATCTTCATCTTTTTGCCTTAATCACTATAAGAAAGACATATATTATGTGCAGTTTCTGTTTAAACAGGGAGAAGGTGGAATCAGACCTGATATTTCTGGGATTGCTCATCTTGGAGAATCGACTGAAGGAAGAGACCAAGCCTGTCCTGGAAGAGCTCATTGCTGCACGGATAAGGACGGTGATGATCACAGGTATGTATGGAGCAAAGTGTGCAGTAAAAACAGGAACTCTGCGTAGAACTCAGCGTGGATCACCTAGCAAATATGGCTGAGTACCAAGTACGGGCCAAAGAGCCCCTCTACATGTCAGAGATAGGCAACAAAAAGGCAAAGTTACTCACCAAGCTTCTGTCACAGAGGAACAGCCAATCAAATAGTGTAACAAGTGTTTTGAGGCACACAAATATGGGAAATCTGATGCTTGCTGTGGTGGTGCTCACATGTAAGCCCATCACCGGGGAGTCTGAAGCAAGAGAATTACCATACATTTGAGGCCAGCCAGGACTAGATAATGAGTTCCAGGCCAGCCAGCATGAAACTAGTCTAAAACGAAAACAACAAAAGATAACAAAGCAAAACCAACAAAACCCCAAATAGAGCAGTCTGGTAGTGTCTGACCATCAACTTCAGGCAAAGCAGTTAAGAGAGTCGTCTCTGAGTGGTGACATTTGAATGACAAAGTTGGTGATTTTTATTGTCAAATGCTAGAAGAAGTATGCCCAGTCAATGCGGTCTTATAAACTACACTGACAGACCACCAATAATGGAATATCTAATTCTGGAGACAAAAAGAATGCACTTCCATCTTGACTCCTAACCCCAAGCCCCAGATCTGATGAACAAGGGGGGCGGTGGGAAGGGATCACTCAAGGGAATGCGTGACCTTACTTTACAAACACTCTTTAATGGATGCTGTAACTTTAAGGAAAAAGACATTACAAGTGAATAACTAATCTCCTGAATTTATATTTTTGAGAGAGCCTTGCCTTTCCTTTCTCCACTGTCACAGACGCTTTAAATTTTATTGCTTGTGTCAATAACATGAACCATCCTCCACAAAGCCCTTACTTCCTTGCACACCTGATCCCCAGTCTACCGCTAGGAACTTTGGAATACTTCTGCTCTCCTCTGCACCTGTCCAGCCCTTATTTTATGTCCCATAATCCCCAACAGTCTTATATACTTTAACTTTCTCACTTTCAAAGCCCCAGTCTGTTTTTAGGCTTTACTGCATAGTTTATTATCTATTTGAGTTTCCTTTACCCAATAGCCCTTTCTATTTCAAAAGTCTGTAGCACTTATATTAAACATTTTCCTACTCAATCCCTAACTATTTTGATACCGTACAAATAAGAGTTACTCATGTTCTACCTTACTCTTCAGTTCCACTTTTCCTCATGTTGAAAATTCTGAAAATTCTGCTCTGTTCTTCTCCCTTGTTTTTTTTTTTTCCTTTCTTTATTGTCCTTGGATGGGACAGAGAGTGCTATATTCTCTGATTTCTTACAAACTCATAATAGTTTTCTTCGTTCTCACAGAGGAATATACTTTTTGGTTAATGATCTGTATGTAAGTACTATTTTCGCCTTCTGGCTTTGATATTGGATAAACACAATCCTAGTCCATAATAAGAAACTCACTCTTAACCTGCGCGTATTTTTTCTTTGACTTCGGCGTATACAGATATTTAGAGGGTTTGCTTATGTATTTTTCTTTTCTTTTTCAGTAATTCAGTCTGGGAGATGGCAGTTTAATGTGCCTTCTTCCTCTCAGGAAAATATTCCCTATTGTTCATTTAATTATTGCCTTTGTTCTCTGTCTTTACTCTATTTTTACTCTAGAATTTCTATTTTCCACGTCAGGTCTACTGCAGTCTCCTGGATTCATCCTGTCCATCTCTTATGTGATTTCTCATGATTGCTATAATTTTATAATTTTATTCAGTTCTTTAAGATTTGGGGAGAGGACATCTAATTTCTTATAAACTATAATCAGAGTCCTCAATATTCAGCAAAATGATTATTGCCTTCAAATCATGTTTTGAGTTGTGAAGTACTTCGATGGTGTTTTGAGATAGGTGTCACTTTAGAGGTCCAGCCCCTCAATTTGGTGGAGCATCTGTGTTTCAGGCTTCATCTGTCTTCAGCGGCTGCTGTACAGCCGTGTGTTCCCCTGATTCTGCCCAATCTTTGCCTACCAAGCTGTGATGACCTCTAGATTGATACAGGTTGTTCAATTTCACTGTCAGGTGATTAGAACTCAGGCCTGGATTGTGCCTTCCAGTCAGGAAGTCTCCTTTTGTCTCCTGGCTTTCATGACAAATCTGTGGCTGTTTTAATCATTATTCTTTTGTGTATAATGTGCTATTTTTCTCTAACTGCTTTTTCCCCTTATCTTTGACTTTTAGCAGTTTGATCTTCATGGGTGTAGGTATGGTTCTCATTGAGTTTAACCTGTTTGAGTTTCTCTGAACTTCTTGAACCTGTACATTTAAGTCTCTCACAGTATTTGGGGACATTTTCTTCTATTTCTTCAACTATCTTTTTCTGTTTCAATGTTTTTCTCTTCTCCTCAGACTCTACTGGCAAGAATGGGAGTCTTTCTAATAACGTAGGCCTCTTCATTTTTAAAAAAAATGTTCTTTTTTCTCCACTCCATGTAATTACTGCTGTCCTAACTTCCAGCTCACTGACCCTTATTTTTTACTATTATCATTCTCTTACTGAGTACATCTAGTGAATTAAAAAATTAAGACATATTTTTTATTTCTAAATTATCCAATTTTAAAACCATTTACATATTTGTTCGTTGAGAACTATGTCTTCCCATTTGTTTCATAAATACTAACATTTGTCATAATAAGGAGGCTTATAAAAACTCCTGTTTTTCCTAAGGGAATAAGAGATACTTTTTTTCTGGAGCCAAATATGAGTGACCACAGCCTGGGAACAGATTTAGGTCACTCCAAATTCCATGTTCCAACATGGAAGCAGTTTCATGAAGTTTTTATAGTAACAGAACAAAGAAAGTCATAAGTCAAGGCACTTTTCAAATACATTTGTAGTAACGTTAGACAGGTGGTTACAGAAAAACAAATAAGTCTCAGTTACAGGTCTCAGATAACTTCTAATGGCACTCAGCCTTTTGATTGGTGGAAACTAAGGTTTTGCTGAATTAATACATTCCAAAAGGTTTTTAACCTGTTAGTCACAGGATGTTAGATCAGTCACAGAGGTGAGCCAGGAATGGCTAGTTAAGGGGCTAAAGATAGCCCAAGATAAATCTGCTATAATAACTTCTTTAAAAATTAAAATTTAATTGTTATTGTGTGTGTATATGGTGCATGTGGGTGCTCATCAGGCTTGCGCAGCAAGTGATTTTACGGACTAAGCCACCTTGCTAGACCTGTAGTAGCTTCTTAAAACCATTATCTGATCATCTCAACATCTGAGTCGTCAAAATGTAGGCAACTTTGATATTAATATTTTGTAACTGATGGTGAGATTTTTCAGGCTTTGTTGTTGTTACTGAGAATTCTCAATGTATTAAATGTATTCTCAATGTATTGTAGAAATTTCAATATTAGCTTAGATACTGCATGTTGGTACACCATGATATTTGGGTCTGCCCCACTCAAGTGTGACTCTGGAAAATGGGAGATGATTTATCTAACAGTTCAATTATTAGAACTTATGTTTTCTTTCTAATGGTCTGCTTCACACAGGCTCTGGGTCACCTGGGATTTACATAGATCATCCCCTGAATTGGTCCCCTTCTCCAGCTTTCATCCTCTAACATTTTCTTCATACTCCACACCTTCCTGGCACCCTTTTTTCTTTGGCTCCTTTATCCAGAAAGACTGGGTTTCTCTTGGAGTTGTACCTGCCTGCACAGGGTAAATATTCAAGTCAAACACGAGAGGAAAGAGAAAAGAGTGACGACACTCATCCTGGGGTAGCTTGCTTCTCCAAGCTGAATTCCCCTCTGCAGCTTGGTTACTTTTGTTTACTCTTCAAATTCCATGAGTTATTGCTTCTTTAAATTTTCTGTTTAGTTTTCAGCTGTAATCAATGGGAGAGACAGATGATAGTGGGCTTACTTCATTTTAATTAAACTTGGACCCACCAGATATGTTATTAAACCAGGGCTTTCTCTACATGTTTGCAAAGGTGGAAACAAAGGGAAGAATTAGATTTGAATTTTCCATTCCTAGTCTCTGATAAGTATTCACTAGTAGGTTTTAAAGTAATGTGTTGGGAAGGAGACAATGGGGCCATGGAGTCCCAGAACTGGGCTGAACAAGACGTTACCAATGATCTTCATTCCGGAAACAAGAACGGAGTCCTCAGCCTAGCTTCCCGAGTTCTGCATGTGTTGGAACCCTTTCCTCAACCTCGTCTTGGGATGTTCTCCCTTTCTTCTAGGTGACAACCTTCAGACAGCAATAACAGTGGCCAGAAAGTCTGGGATGGTTTCTGAAGGCCAGAAAGTCATTCTCGTTGAGGCAAACGAAGCCACTGGGTCTTCATCAGCATCTCTCTCTTGGAAATTAGTAGAGGAGAAGAAACATGTTCCATATGGGCATCAGGTATACCTGAACACAGACCCTCCACTGTGTTATCTGACTTGCCTCACAGGGGTGGTAAGTGACAGTTGTGACTAGCACAAGTCTTGCGGTGACCTCAAGTCAACAAACTTTTCTAACAGTATGAATCCAATTATATCAGTTTTTTACATTGTTCCTACTATCTCCTAAGGTACAGGCTCTTCTGGGTGCTGAAAACAATCCATTCTTTGACACTTAAGAAACATTTTGGCTTTTTAGTAGAAGGAATATAGTAGGCAGAGCTGCAGATTTAACTTCCCACATTTCTCCTTGCTTGTCAGCCACCCCATTGGATTCAAAGGGGATTTAGTGCCTGGGAGAGTCCCTGTTGTGTGTACTGGAAAATCAGACTTTGTCTTCAGGGTAGGAAAAAAGTTTTGTCCATTTATCTCTAACTTTGTTAGCATTCTATTTCCTGTGCCCTTGTGGAGCAATATTAATTCTGTTAGAAAAAAATAGTAAGTTCTCACTTCTGGGAGAGATTTGTTAAACTGTAGTGCTTTGTATTTTACACTTGAAATGTGTGAAATGCGCTCTTCTCTGAGACTCACGGAGATCAGATCAGGATGAGAACAGGACATGAGTTAAATGTTATTCTATTCACTAGTGTCTGTGGTGTGTGAAGATTGAACCAGCAAAGAAAAAGTGGTTCTCTGAGGAATCAGGGCTGGAGTGTGTCTTCTCAAGAGAGACCCTGCTCTGTCTTTAATCCCTTCTTTCAATGTGCTTGTGGTTCTAATCACTCTAGCGTGTAGAAGATTACTGAACAATTGCACCTTGTGTTGCAGGACAATTACATTAACATTAGAGAAGAAACCTCTGATAATGGCAAAGAAGGTGGTTACCATTTTGCCCTGAGTGGAAAATCCTTTCATGTTATAAGTCAGCATTTCAACAGTTTACTGCCAAAGGTGAGTTCTAAGAAGGCAATGGCATCTGTGAAGATGCTGAACATGACACTTACATAGCATCACTCTAAACAGTTTCAAAGTTCTAAATAGGCAATCGGCAAGATGCAGCTGATAGTTCTACATATCATAAGAAGGAGATATGTTTGCAAAAGTTACTGTTGCTCCCTATTAAATTTGAAAATAATAAAGTTGATGAGTCAATTTTATACCATCTCTAGGATGGAAGGGCAGTTCTGAGGATTGATTCTGGGTAGTTCTCAGACTATTACCATGGTGTAGGCCTTTCATAGTTTAGTAGAAACACCGCAGAAAGGCAGGCAAGAATAAAAGAATACATTAGATTTGTGGTAGAAGTCATCTATTCTGAGGCGGTCCCAACTTAAAGATTTTTTTTTTTATAAAGAATAAATTTATAGTAGGGGCAGGTAACTCATTTGCCAAAGAATAGACTTTGACTGAACGCTAAACTGCTTTACTGCCCCAAAGAACAAGGAACAAAAGATGTGCTACAGAAGGATTTAAAGCTGGTACAGGTTTTCATACCCCAGACCATCCATGTTCCATAGCTCAATTGAAGTTTGGGATAACAACCGAATTTCATATTGGTCCAGTCCAGACAGTACGACTAGATCCCAAATAGCCAGTATTTCGTCACTGGGCTGTTTTCTGCTTTTCTGAGAAGCAAGTGCTTTGCTTTTGCTTGGGGTCCTGATCTATTGTTTTGTTGTAATTGCTTGGGCTCTACTGGTTCAAGTTTCCATGAAGATAAAAATTTTTCTTAAATTTTATTTTTTATTGAAGTTTTTGCAATTTTCATATAATATAGTTTGATGGCATTTAGATCCTCTGCCTATCCCTACCTCCCCCACTGCCCCCCACCCAATTTAACGTACTCTAATATATGCACATACATATATATACTATATGCATATGATATAGAGTCTATAGAGTCTATAGAGTTTGAATTGTGTTCCCAAATGTCCTTAAGTGTGAGTCCACCAACTGGCCCATCAAGAGTCCCATCCCTGTGAGACGCTGTCTCTCCCCTTCCCAGCAGCCATCAGCTGCCATATGTTCCTTAGGCTGCATTGGGATTTCTTACCCACTTCCCCATGTCTATGCTAGGATTTTGTCTGGTTTAGAAACTCAAGATTTTTCAGGACCACATTCTCCATGGCAGTTGGGCTAAACTGTGTAGGCCATTATTTTTGTAAACTGTTTTGTGAAGAAATACTGATATTTGGTTAACACTGGATTTATCTGACAAAAAATTCTCAATGTCCATCTTAACACAAAACGTGTGTATATAAATTTTTTCCCTGTTCACTAACATCACTAGCCAGCCAGTGTTCTGTTTTCAATGACTTCATGTGTGACGTGATAAAAGTGTTGGTTTTATGGATTCTTTGCAGATACTAATCAATGGGACCATATTTGCAAGAATGTCTCCTGGGCAGAAATCCAGTCTGGTTGAAGAATTTCAGAAACTGGAGTAGGTTCTCTGTCAGTTCAGGTGGTATGAAGTACATGGAGGCTTGACAGAAAGGGAACGTAAGGTACAGGGAGCCACACAGTAGGCTCGGGCAGGGCATCTTACCCATTCAGATGACGGTCACTGGGAGAACTTTGAAAAAGCAGCAATATAAGCACCACACTTTCCAAAGATACTGATTGAATTTCTTCTATGGGGCTTGAGCATAGCGTCTTTGCAGAGCTCCTCACATGTCACTTTTGTGTTCAAAGTTAAGAGCTGTTGTACTGGAAGGTAAGGGGCACGAAAGGGCATGGAGAGGGTGACTGGACCCCGATCCTGAAGGTACCATGAGAATTTAGACTTTATTTTCTTAAGTTATCATCACAGCTGTAATACAGAGAGGTTCATGTGACAAGAGATTTATCTAATCCCTCAATATTAAAATAGTCTTATACCAAAGCAGCCTTCCTAGCACAAGCCATTCCAATACTTCTAACACAAAAGGGTCTCCATTCCCAGACAAAATGAGTAGAGCAAACAGTGCTCATTATTTGGGACAATTTATTTTCTGTTAATGGAACTCATGGAATAGTGGCACTAGGCCATATCAACCTGACTCCTACTCCTACTCCATCTTCCTAGTTATGTGATTTAATCATTAAAAAGCTTCTCTTTATGACTGAAAAGCTGCAGAGTAAACTAATGACTTCATAACAGTGTAAAGAAAAGTACAGCCTCTACAGTGAATGTATGTCTTTTAAGAAACTGTTCATAATCTGTGTCAGCAATTCCAGACAGAAGTATTAGGTGCAGCCTCAACAAGTTCTCTTGAAACGGGTTCTCTATTTTCTTTTTTCAACTTCTTGGCCTGACACTTCATTTTCAGCCAAGTGAAAATGACCATGAATGTCCTCCAGCAACTAATGCTTGTTTATCACTTCAGAATTTATTAGTCACTTTCCAATCTAGTGTTTGATGGGGAAATGACAAGATGATGAGGTAAAAAATCTAGACCTTCTGGCTTCTAGATCAAATCCTATTGTGTTGTGTCTTTTCATACGATTGTATGCACCCTCAGTGGAACAAGCTGTTGTCTAAGAAGCAAAGTCCAGTGTCTGTACAGAGCACTGACTGGGAGTGGTGCTGGGTTTCTCAAGCCGCTTTAGAAACTGCTGAATCACACTTTGCTTTTACTTCTCTCTTAGGGTAACTTCCTAAAAAATCAATAATAAGTTTAAACCCCAAGTAAGGATCATCATTCTGTTTTTTAAACTACAAAGATTAGCTTTGATCTCTACAATTCACATTTCTCTTTCAGTTACTTTGTAGGTATGTGTGGTGATGGAGCCAATGACTGTGGAGTAAGTAGCTGCCAGTGTGTGACCATAAGCTCTCAAAAATACTTGGGTTGTGTATCATTTTCAAGAATGGATAAACTTGGGAAGGTTTTGACCAAAGCCACACAATGACTCAGTGGTCTCTAAAGGCTAAATAGAACTTGGGTTGAGAGCTCCCACTTTGAGTAGATATCCCAATGCCATCCCTTCCTTGGGTTTCAAACAGGGTAAAGTCTGGTCATCTCCCTGTTGGGGTTCATAAGCCACCTCGTGGCCAGTTTAAAGGGCCGTCTTTAATGGCTTCGTAGAGGTGTGTGTACACAGACAATAAGTTGATTCTTGGCTTTCAGGCTTTGAAAATGGCTCATGTGGGCATCTCTTTATCAGAGCAGGAGGCATCAGTGGCCTCACCTTTCACTTCCAAAACTCCAAATATTGAGTGTGTACCTCACCTTATCAAGTAAGTAGTCATCTCAGTGTTATTTTCTCTCTTGACTTTTGGTTACAGATAAACATTATTTTGCCTGGGGAAAAACATAGAAACATAGTACCCTAGATAGAGAGGGTGATTCTGGAAAAATTACAATAAATATTCTACTGCTAGATGTACTTAACAGGAGTTATAAATAACTGGGAGTGTCATTTCCAGCAAAAGTAATTGATTATATCATTTTAACCAATTGTTATTGTCTAAATTATATTAGCAGTTATTTTAGTTGAGATGCTTTTTCCTGGAGGATAGAGGAAAACCCATTTGCCTTCCTCCTTTCTTGCCTCTTGATGCTTCATCAGGGTGCCCTTCCCATCCCCAACTTAAAAATCTCTACTAACCTTTGCTGTTCCCACTGAATATGCCTTGGTGCTGCATTTTCTCCAGGATATACACTCTAGTCCATTTTTCTTCAGTTGGAGAGGCGGCCTGTGGCCACTCTTTGTTATCATAAGTAGCATGTGTTTGTAGTTTCAAAAGTACTTGAGGACCTATTATTTTATACTTCAAAACAGCCTGCAGAGATAGGCATGGCTATTTTTCTTTTGTAATGTAAATAATCAGAGGTCAGAGAACATACTCATAGAAACAAACAAGCCTCAAGATTGCAATCAAACTCTTTGTTTGAATGTACTTTTCTCTTCGTAAACGGTTTTTACCATATTAATATAATGATTTGCCTAGCTTCGGTTATTTCAGATGTTTATTCATGTACTTGACTAAGATTTGGTGGAGGGGGAACTAGTACCAGCATCCAAAGCAGATCAATAAAGACAATTCTTAAAGAACTTGATGTGTGCTGTCAAAGAAATAAAATGGATAGTGCAAGGGGGTACAGCACTTCTGGGGAAGAGGAATTCACTGCTTTGGACAGGGTATCTTGGTAAAATCTCTCTAAGAAGGTGAGAAATGGGAAGAAACTACCTTCTGGGCAGAGCAAGTGGCGGCAGCAAGACCAGGGGGAAGCCCCTGTTTGAGGTCAGGTCTTGGATTCACAGGAAGTTAGTTATATGCTTTTTCCTGGAGGATTGACCATTCCTATGACCATAAGTAAATTAAAGTCCTATCCCACCTAAATGAAATTGAAAGAACTGTCATTTTATACAGCATCTTTTTTGGTGTTTTTGAGACAGGGTCTCCCTGTAACCCAAGCTGTCCTGGAACTCACTATGTAGACCAGGCTGGCCTTGAACTCAGAGATCTGTCTGCCCCTGCCTCCCGAGTGCTGGGATTAAAGGTGTGTACCACCACACCTGGCTATACAGCATCTTTTTAATGCTTTGATGTGCTATGTGTTCAGTGCCAGTCAACAAGAGCACAAAGGAGCATGCTCTTTGTGTCCAGGCTACTCAAGTATGACACATAAATAATTTGAGTGTGCACATTTTTTAGCCCAGTTTTAGGAGAAATTGGAATTTTCAAAGTGAAATTTGGATCAAATGCCTGCCAAATTCCTGGAGCACCTGCTTGAAAAACACTCCCAAACCTTATTTATATCCTTAGTTCACAGATGCAGAAACTGGGACAGGGAAGTAACCTTCCAAACCACATTAGCACATGGATATGGGGTCTGGGACTAGCTCCCACGTTCCCTGGCTCTGAGTTCAGGAGCTGAAACAATTCCATGTATAATGGACAAGAGTAATTATAAATCAAGTCCATTGCCAGGTCAAGGCTGTGGACATTGGCCCAGAACCGGCCTATTCTGAATGGCTAGTCATTTAGCTCCTACCTGGTCGAGGTTGTCCAGTATGTGGACGAGCTATCATAGAACCAGATGTCTGACTTTTTTTGTCCTAGGCTTAGGTGAAAGGCACAGAATAACACCCAGTTTCTCTTCATTGCTTTCGTTTCATCCTGTTCTCATTCCTTTTCTTACACAGGGAAGGACGTGCAGCTCTTGTCACCTCCTTTTGCATGTTTAAGTACATGGCCCTGTACAGCATGATTCAGTATGTTGGTGTTCTGCTGCTCTACTGGGTATGACTTGGGACCTAGCCTCTTGGTTAGTGAGAACTAAAACAAGTGGTTCACTGAATTTCCAATGCAACAAAGTATAAATAGGATATTTGAGCATCAAGAGTGCTTTGAAAAGTATCCTTAAGATTTTACAAAATAAATCAGATAGACAAATGTGCAGGACAAATTATTTGATATAACAACAATTTCTGATATAAAAACACCCTATTGAGTGATAACTGAGGATCAGAACTGAATCCATCACTTTTGTTTTGTCACTTTCACCTGCATGGAACAGGTCTGCCTTCCCATTTCCATTCACTGCAGAGTTGATTCTCTGCACTGAAGTAGTACTTCGTAACTGGCTTCCCTGATTATTGTTGGTTGTCAAGTTCAGGGATATAAATATCAAGCAAACTTGACAGGTGAAATTGAATGTTGAATGGAGAAGAGACATACAATAGCAGCATACTCTTACACAGTACTTGCTCCTTATAAATATGAGTTGTAAATAACTTCGAGAACATAGATAATAGAGAATGTAGGAAAAGGAATAGGCAATGCCAAGCTTTTAGTACCTATTAACTTTATATAAACAATTAATTTGTTTGCACAACTGTAGTGTTTATAGTGGTTGTGTTTAACAGCTAAAGATTAGCATTACTGAAAATTTGGCAGTTGACTTTCAATTAAGAATAAGCTATCAGACCTCTAACTCCCTGAATACATAGACCTGAAAATTGGCATATCAAAATACAAAAACACATGTATCTTGTGATGACTTTTATTATTTAACATGCTATAAAAAGGGAATAGATATGCCTATAGTTTCTCAATTCAATATGTGGCTATATTAACTGATACCAAGAAAGGGAATTTCATTTGTGCTACAGATGTCTTATCAGGGTTCATCTTTACTTCCTGCACTCCTTCTTCTAGGGTCAAGGTTTTAATCTCATTGCTTCCATATTTATTGTGTTTTCAGACTCATTGATGAAGGGGCTAGAGGTTAAGCTGTTTATGGGAACTTGACTCTTGGAATCCCAATAGCTTATTCTCAAAGTATAGTTAAACATGCTATATTATGGTCTCCCATCACCTAATATGTGAGAACAAGGAAATCAATAAGACCTGAACACCTTTTAAAATAAGATTAGCATCCTAATTTATGTAAGAAATTGTAACATCTCACCTAATGATACCCAAGGACATGAGTTCAGTTGCTCTAATTTTTCATTAGCAAAATGTATGTAAGACTACCAAACAGTTGTCCCTTGGGACTGTTGGGAATACATGATTTTACTATGCCAGACCAAAACCATTTTTCTGCTAGGCAGCAGAAAGAGAGGAGTTGTATCTAGATGGCCCCCCAACAGTGGGCAGTGCTGACACACAGGCTTCAGCCCAGTGAACACACTGAGGAGACCCTCCTTGTGGGAGAGGGTTCCACAGGCAAGGCATAGGTTTCACATTTCCACCACCACCACAACCACTCACCAATCCAAAGAAGCCTCTGACTATGTCATCCCAGTGACTTCCTTGAAAATTTCTGGGTTGTAGGGAGAAACTGAATTCAAGTCACCCAAAAGCTTATCAATTTTATCTGCTTTCCTTTTTATTTCCAGGAGACAAACAGCTTTTCAAATTACCAGTTCTTATTCCAGGATCTGGCCATCACAACTCTTATTGGTGTGACAAGTAAGGCGCTATTAACATCTTCTTCCCAGAGCTGCTCCCCACAGCTGCTCTCTTCCACTGCTGCAAAGGTGGCAAGAGCACCTTTGATGTACGATACGTAGTCTCAAAGATGAAGCGTGGGGGAGAAAGAAGGGATAGAACACCCAATTTTATTAAAAGAAAATGTTAGAAAAGAAAAGCTGATCATTTTCCTTTTTATAAAGAAAGTACAGAGCTTCTATAAATGGACATCGTGTGTTAAAATGAAAATGTACCTTAAAAATAGGAAGTAACTTGAGTGTGATTTTAGGTGTAGATCAATTTGGAATGTATTCAACTGGTAGAAGTTAAGTAAGTGGCTTTTGGTTTCTGATCTCCAAATTGTAGCCTCTCAGTATTAAAAGGAGAGCTTAAAGGTAATCTTGCCATTATACCACTCCTACTTCCCACCTTCCTAATGAATATATGAATTGTCTTCCTAGCGTATTCAAGTAGAACTCTCAGTTTTTCCAGACATCTGGGCATTATCAAGTTGTGGTCACCACAGCATCTTTGCATATGTCCTGCCCTTTGCTTAACATACTCTTTCTTAAAGCTTCACATGGCTTTGGCTTTTTATTCATTATTCATCCCTCAGCTAAAATGTCACTATGTTTTAGTGACTAAGACAGTTATTCTGTCATATACCTCTGCTTTCTTTTTCACAGTATTTCCTATAATCTGACACTATAGGTATTTTCTGAGTCACTTGTCTTTGCCACTGAATGCTCTAGGCAATTTGAATACATGAATGAAATAAAGTAAAATAAAGCAAAGCAAAATTACCCCTTTCCATATGGAGCTTGTGTTATATTGATGCAGTATTACTATCTACCAAGTTGTTCAAGTCAAAGACCTAGAGTCATTCCTAAATTTTCTCTTTTTTCACCCTTTGTATCTAATACATGGGAAGTTCCTAGTGGATCTGTTGCCAAAGCGCATCATGAGACCATCTCGCCTTTACACCAACAGCTGTCACCTCTCCTGTGGATTGGGCCAGCAATGCCTTCATAACTCATTTACTCTTTAAAAGAATTATATAAAAATAACAAGTTTCCCTATGGCATTTTCATACATGCTTGGCTTGGTTGTACCATTTACCTTTCACATGATAGTAAGAGTGTTGGTTGAAGTGTAAATATTACAGTGTCATTCTTCTTCAAAATGTTCCTGTGGGTGCTGATGAGATGGCTCAGAAGATAATGGTGCTTGCTTCACAAGCCTGGTGATCTGAACTGGATCCCCAGAACCCATATAAAGGTGGAAGTAGAGAACTGACTCCACAGAGTTGTTCTATGATCTCCACACATACACTGTGGCACACCCCCACTACAATAATAACAGTAAATAAACGTCTGTTTGAAAGCTCCCTTGGCTTCTCATTTCCATGAGATTCAAATCTTAGTGACTGGGATCCTGCCCATTTCAACCCCATCTCTGATCATATTACTAGGTACTTGTGCCCAGTGTGCTGGTGGCTCTGCTTCTTGGGCACTGTCGAGCTGTGGCCACCACAGCATCCTTGCATTTGCCCTGCCCTCAGCATAACATACTCTGTCTCAGAACCTCACATGGCGTTGGCTTTTTCCTCATTATTCACATCTCAGCCAAAAGCTCACTATGTTTTAGTGGCTAAGTTATTTTTTGTCATATAAGTGCTTTATTTTTCACAGTATTTCACATAATCTGACATTATGACATTTGTCTTTGTTTTGTTTTCATGTCTGTCTCCCTCCTCTAGAGTGTTCCATGAGACCAGGACCCTGTCTGTCTGATCCATGCTGTGTTTTCAGTATCTGTAGCTCTGCCTGGCACAGGCAAGCAGCTCATTGGCATCTGCTGGGTCTTTTGAAATAATGCTTTTGGGTGGTACCTGTAACTAACAGAGCTTTCCTTAACTTTACATGGAACAAAATTATTTCTAGAACTTTCACCCATCCCAAGTCTGCAGACCATTTGGAGTAACATAGAGTAATCTGATTTTTCTCCCCCTGTAGTACTTCAGATATTTAGAAAAATCTCTCATCTATTTTATGGTTGTTCTCATCTCCTTAAATAAAAATCTCCTGACTTTTCTCTATTTTTTATTAAATAAAGTTCATATTTTCTGTTTAACAAATATTAAATATACATGTTCGTAACATGTATTCACTGTGAAAAGAAGATAGGAAATATTGTAAAAGAAAAAGGCCCACTTTTATCCTGCTATTCAGAACTAACAAATTTAAGTATTCTGATGCATTTCTTTCAGCCTTTCCCTTTTAACTTGAATTATTTTTATGTAGTTGTACAAATGATTTATTTTTTTAAGAAAAAGTGTAGCCCAGGCTGCCCTGAAATTTGTGATCCTGCCTCACCCATCCAAGTCCTGGAATTATAGACATGCACCTGTATGCCTGGCTTCATCCTCATTCATAACTATTTTTAAATGTTACTAAATTGGTTTTTGGTAAAATGCGCTTATAACATGAAGTTTTCCATTTTAAGCATATAATTCAGAAACACAAATTCCATTCAAAATTCTATCAACCATTGGCAGTGTCTATTTCCAAACGGATGCCTTACCTACTAAGCAAGAACACCCAGTTCTCTCCCTTTTCAGTCCATGAACTTTTCCTGTACTTTTTATCATAGTGAATCTGCCTAATCCATATATTTTTGTGTACATGAAATCATACAGTTCTTTCCTTTGTTTCTGGTTGCTTTCAGTTCGCATAATGTTTCCAGGGAGCCTACATTTTGCAGCATATATCAGAACTTCATTCTATCTTATAGCCAAAAGCGAAATGAACACACACACACACACACACACACACAACATACCTAGAGACAGAAGTAGAATGGTGATACCAAGGAGCTGTAGAGGATTCAATAGCTTTAGAAACACTTTGGTAGTAGATAATGGTGATGGTTGCACAACAGTGTGAGAGTGCTTTATGCCATGGAGCAGTGTGCTTTAAAATAGCACACACACGCACACGCACACGCACACACACACACATGCACACATTTTGTTTGTTTATCTCTTGTTGGAATTAGGTTGCTCTTGTCATTTAGCTATAGTGGACAGTGCTGCACTAAAATTTTATATAAAGCATCTGGTTGAGTTTTGTTTCAATTCTTTGAGGAATAAAATGGAATTTCTGTTATGTGATAACCAGATATTTAACTTTTCAAGGACTCATCAAACTATTTTCCTAGAGACTATGTCACTTTACATCCACACTAGCAATAGATGATAATTCGAATTTCTTTTAAAATTATTTTATTCATTATTTTTATTTTACATGTATGAGTGTTTTGCCTGCATGTATGTAAGTGCACCCGTGTCATGCAATGCCACGGAGGTCAGAAGAAGGCATCAGAACCCCTGAAACTGGAATCACAGACAGTTGTTAGCCTCCAATATGTGTGCTGGGAATGGAACCCGGGTCCTTTGCCAGAGCAGTCAGTGCTCTTAAGGCTAAGTCCTCTCTCCAGCCCTGAGAATTTTAATTTCTTAACAGCCTCAACCAAAACTTAGTATTTAACTTTGAAATAATAAGCTTAGCTGTAATTTAGTTTTGTCTTATTGTTTTGGTTTGCATTTCTCTGATGACTGGTGAGGTTGGATGTACTTTCATGTGCTTATTACCTGCTTTGTATTATTCTTGTAGCGAATGTTTATTCAAATCCTTTAACTATTCTGAGTTTTTATCTTTTGGCTATTGAATTGTAGAATGTCTTAGTATATTGTGGATATCAAGCCCTCCTCAGGTGTATGGATACACTTTTTCTCCTGTTATGTATATTTTCGTTTCACCTTACACTTTCTTTGTTTTTTGAGACAGAGTCTCCCTGTAGCCACAGCTGGCCTAGAATTTGCTATGCAGACCAGGCTGGCCTTGAACTCATAGAGATCTGGCTGCCTCTGCCTCCTGAGTGCTGGGATTAGAGGCATGCACTACATTACAATTTTTAAGAAATATATTTTATTTATTATTTTTATTTTATGAGTGTATTGCCTGCATGTATGTGAGTGTTGTGCAATGCCGTGGAGGTCAGAAGAGGGTGTCAGATTTCCCTGGAACTGGAGTTAAGGATGGTTCATAGCTGCCATGTGGATTCTGGGAATCAAACCCGAGTCCTCTGCAAGAGCAGTCAGTGCTCTTAACTGCTGAGCCATCTCTCTAGGCCCCACCATGTTACAATTTTTAAAATTACATTTTATTATCTATCTATCTTTCATCTATCTATCTATCAATCATCTATCATCTATCTAACCTATCATCTATCTATGTATCATCTATCTATCTATCTATCTATCTATCTATCTATCTATCATCTATCTATCTATCTATCTATCTATCTATCTATCTATCTATCTATCTATCTATCTATCTATCTATCTATCTATCTATCTATCTATCTATCTATCTATCTATCTATCTATCTATCTATCTATCTATCTATCTATCTATCTATCTATCTATCTATCTATCTATCTATCTATCTATCTATCTATCTATCTATCTATCTATCTATCTATCTATCTATCTATCTATCTATCTATCTATCTATCATCTATCTTCTATCTGTCATCTATCTGTCGTCTATCATGCATGCATGTATGTGTGTGTGTGTGTGCACATGCACCATGGCACACATGTGGAGGTTAAAGGGCAAACTTGTGGAGTCAGTGCTCTCCTTACATGATGCAGGTTCCAGGAATCCAATTCAGGTTGTTGGGATTGGTGGCAAGTGCCACTGAGCCAACTTCCAAATCCTCACTTTTGTTTTGTTTTGGGGTGTGTGTGTGTGTGTGTGTGTGTGTGTGTGTGTAGCCCCAGCTGGCCTGGAACTCACTATGTAGATGAGATTGGCCTCCATCTCATAGAGATGGCCTGCTTCTGCTGGGATTAAAGGTATGCTCCCCATCTGAATTTTCACTTTTTAAAAATATTATGTTTCTCCTCTCCTCTCCTCTCCTCTCCTCTCCTCTCCTCTCCTC